GCAATTTTGCTGCCGTACCTCAAAATTTTTGTGCCAAAATGCAACAAACCTTTATTTTGTTTGTTGGTACTATGTCTATCCTTTGGTTGAACCAAAACAAAAATGCATTGGCAGTCATTAAAGAAACATGCATGGCTAGTTTTACTATTTTTATTATTAGATGATAAATAGTAGAGTAAAACAGTTTTTTTCCCCATATCTCAAAAGTAGCAAAAATAAATGAGATGTGCCAATTTGCGTGTGCAGTTATGAAATGCTTAAAATTTCTGGAATACATCGTAAAATTAGTAAGTAATTTATTTGACTAAATATAAATGAAAAATAGGTAATTACCTCATGAACAAATCATAAATTCAAGTTTTGTAATAAGAAACACTTCTGACTCTAGCAAGGTATATATAGGTATTCATTGGAGAATACAAATCACATTCCTTCTTCATGCAGCACTGGTATTTAATTTTATTTTTCTACAATAGAAGGCTAATGGTTTGAATTGCCCTTGTTGGTGATCTTTCTTGAATTTTGTCTCAGAATGAAGAATTCAGACATTGCCTTGTCATGGTTTTGTTTGAGCAGTGAGCATTTTTAATGCTGTAGAAAAGTGAGACTTAATTGTACAGGTATGATACAATTTGTTCAGTTTATCTTTTATAGTATAGTGACAGTTACTGATTCATGATTATTTAACGATGAAAGTGAAATGTTAAAAAATTATGTTTCAAATGGAAGAACCCAATTTTGCTGCCGTACCTCAAAATTTTTGTGCCAAAATGCAACAAACCTTTATTTTGTTTGTTGGTACTATGTCTATCCTTTGTTGAACCAAAACAAAAATGCATTGGCAGTCATTAAAGAAACATGCATGGCTAGTTTTACTATTTTTATTATTAGATGATAAATAGTAGAGTAAAACAGTTTTTTTCCCCATATCTCAAAAGTAGCAAAAATAAATGAGATGTGCCAATTTGCGTGTGCAGTTATGAAATGCTTAAAATTTCTGGAATACATCGTAAAATTAGTAAGTAATTTATTTGACTAAATATAAATGAAAAATAGGTAATTACCTCATGAACAAATCATAAATTCAAGTTTTGTAATAAGAAACACTTCTGACTCTAGCAAGGTATATATAGGTATTCATTGGAGAATACAAATCACATTCCTTCTTCATGCAGCACTGGTATTTAATTTTATTGTTTCACTCAGGGTACAGCACTTGGCATGAGGTGCGCTTGTAGTATGGGAGAACAAAAGATTTAGTCAATGCTGTTTTGTACGCTATTGAAATGAAGAAGCAATTTTTCAGACTTTCCTTCTGTCTTTAGGCCTATAAGGATTTTTAAAAAAAAACTGGAAATGGGGTCATTGATTTACTGAAGAATATGGCTCTTATTGTTAGTTGAAACAATAAGTTATAAATAATCACTTGTCATTATTGTTTTATCACATTTTCACTTCTTCTGAAGATTGGATCAAGTGTATTTAAATAAGTTAGTTTTTGTGTGTTTGTGATTCACTGTAATCAAAATATAAGTATTATCATAAGTGAGAATAATTAATTTGTTTAACAAAATTACCTAGGGCATTCTTAATGTAGTTAACTCTACCAATGGTGAAATTTCCTAGACATTGCTAGTTTTTTGCAATTGCTTGCTTTATTTATCATACCATGTATTTTTAAAATAAAATGTTATAGTGCATGCATTTTCTTCTCAACTAAAATTGTTAGATAATGGTTCATTTGCATAATTTTAAATATTGCTAAATTAATGTTTTCAAAGCTGTGGTCCCCATTTCAACATTTGTTCAATATATTGTTACTGTAGTTGTAGGGATTATGTACAAATGTTCCTGGGTGGAAGCACAAAAGCATTTTTAGTTTTATTTAGCATTGCTACCAATACTGGATCTAAAGCAGCTTATATATGGCCTTTCGTAATTGGTTTCATATGAGATCAATAATGCAGTGTCACAGTACTACAGCGGATTTTTATGTTGTGTGCTGACATGCAACCCACAATCATGCCAATGGTTAAATGAATTGACTTTTCATAGTGTGTGGAAAGATGCAGATTAGGTTGGTTTAAACTTGCATGCAGCATTTTTATAAAAAGGAGAATGTTCGGGCTATTAGGATGATTTTTTTTGTTGCTTTGAGGGAAAAAAATTAAGATGCCAAATTTTGCAACTGCTGTTTGTGACTTGCCATAGGGTTAAACATGTTAGACAAATGTGTCTCTGAAAGGTCTTTAAAGGTCTTGAAACATGAATATTTCATGGTGGTTGACAATGATTTGCTGTCGAAAGGCAGAACAATTTTACCTGTTAGATAATTTGAAGGCCATTTTTTTGTAATGCTCCACTTCCCGAAAAGCAAGTTTTAAACTCTCTTTATGATAAATGATTTGATTTTGCATGCTAAACTTAATTGTTGCTCTTTTTATCTGGCCGAGTTGGACTAGAAGTTGCGTTATAGGAATACCTTTCATTGCAATACTGCTGAAACACTTATACTGTGTGGATGTGAATTTAATAGTTGAGGCAATTAACCGTTTCCAAACTTAGCTTTTGACCTTTAGTATATGAGAAGGTGATAATGCTTCACCTTGGAGGTAAGTTTCATCTATTGTACAAATTAATAACATACATAAGGAAGCAGTTGTTTTCAGGCCGTGAATGTCAAAAAACAGTGATAATGTGTGTGTGGAAAAGATGTTCATTATTGTAATACAAGTTGTCCACTCTTTTTTTCAGAGCCGTTCAGATACGGTTGACCTTACTGATACATCTTTGCTGGTGGACATTTCTGATGCCCTCAGCGAAAGGGAAAAGGTCAAGTTTACGGTCCACACAAAGGTATGGCTGTGGGTCATGTGCGCTAGGTTTTGAAATAACTGTGGACCTTTTCGTTGATGTGAGTTAATTGTTCTATGACTATATGTTTTGTCTGAAGAAAGTCTCCTTGTCTTTCTTTGCTGTCTTATGGTGTTCTATGTCATTGTGATAAGCCAAAAGCTAGATGCTAAATTTGCATCTGTTCTGAGATGTGTGGCTTCAATTTTTTCTTCTAAAATGTTCACTACTGTATGCATATTTCTTTTATATTTTTCATTTAGGATTACGTTCTCCAATGTTATTACATTTTATGAAGTAGAGTATGTGCTTTGATTGGAAACAGTGAATAATCATTTGTTTACTATACTGCTGAATACTTTGATAACCTGAAACTCTGGACTTGTGGACATGATATATTGTTCACTGACTGTATTGGCAGTTCTGGACCTCTCAAATTTTCTTATTTTTAAATTTTTATGACCCATGAACTATTTTCAGACCACCCTACAGCACTTCAAAAACTCTGAGATGTCTGTCGTGAGACAACATGAGGAATTTGTGTGGCTACATGACCGCTTTGTCGAGAATGAGGAATATGCAGGCATAATCGTAAGTACCAGCCTCCTTCTCTCATGTATGTTTTGTATTTTAGCATTCAAGATTTTTGCTATCTCTGTTACATCTGTTGTGTGGATGTACTGTATCGTGCAAAGCAGTTGATTTTGTAAGACAACTGCAAATTCTAGATAAAGAAACCTATGTAAAGAGGTTGTGTTCAACCTTGTGTCAATGAGTACATTTATCTAGAGAAGGGGCTAGTTGGAAGATCCTTCTTTATCCCAGTGAAACTGTACACTCATGTGTGTGGCTGTTGCTCTTATCTGTATTATCTGAATGTTATCAAGTAGATGGGCTCCTTAACTGTGGAAAATGTTTGCTTGATTGCCGCATAAGACAGTATTGTAGATTGCTTTATCACACGCTGAATTGAAATTCTTTACAGTTTTTTAGTTATGTGAAAGGTTGATGGGTTGCCTGGTTTTGTTTCTTTTCATAAGCTATTTGAGGGGG